TGATATGCAATTGGGCATTCTTTGGCATAGAATTCTTTGGCATAGAATTCTTAGAATGCCTGTCCCCTACTCCATTTTCAGCATATCCCCACTCCATTTTTATTTTGCTCCTAGTTGACCCTCTGCTGGCATACTTAATAAAGGCTGCAGAATTACTTCAAATAATAATCCTGTCTAACCCTGTTTAACCCTCCCAGCAAACAATTAATTGAAGGCACTCAGTTATGTGCAATTCCCAAAAGCACTACTTTTTTTCACTTTCTTAAATTGCAGTATCCAATTGAACAATGCAACTTAAATCTAAGCTCATGATAGTTTTAAAAGCGCCTTGAAATTGAGTAGAAAATGGAGAAAAAATGGAAATCTTCAATCAGCCTGCATATCTTTCTATATAAAACTTTGAATGTGAGCCAGAAACTAATTAAAAATAAAACAGAAAAAGAGTGGAAAAGTTATTTGGAAAGTAAAACCAAATAATTATTTATTTAAAGTTAACATTTAAAGGAGTAACAGCGATAATTTGAATGGCATTGTTTTTATTTATCATAATGGCTTAAGGGAAGACATTACAAATTCAGCTCAATGAATTTACAAATTCTGCCTTCATTACTGTAAAATCTGTAGTGCAATACAATTGGGTGCATTTCCTTGATGTTTTATTCTTAATACAGCATAAATCTTCCTTAAAGCTAAGAGATGGAGAAATAGCTGTCATTTTAAAAAGTTCATTTCCTGAATTTTCTTCTTAAAAGGAAAATTAGAAAGCATTTTTATTTTCTAGAGGTTGAAAGATAGTCAAGGAAAAGATTTTATTACATTTCCAGGGATTAAATTCAGTTAAAAAATATCTAGGAAGTTAAAGGTCATAAATCACATTTGAAGTAGCACAGGATTTGAATTGTGCCTGATGGACAGAACCCTCAATAATTTTTAATAGATATAATTTAGAAGTTGACATGTATCCTAGATTATCACTGTACAAGCCTGTCTTATTCATCTGTTTTACTATATATTGCTAAAGCAAATGCATAATCAATCAAAAGCAAAAAATAAACTAAGTTTATATAAAAGCTAAAAATATCCCTAGATTAGATTTTTTCAGTTATGTCTACTAGAGTAGTGTACAAATATTAAACATTAGATCCAAGTGAAACATCAAAGATCACTGATTTTACTTATATGCTATTCACAAGATCAAATAACATACGTTTGGAATCATATCTGTTTTACAGAATGAATCTCCTAATTTCTTTCTGCCTCATCATATCAAAATAGGAGGTATAGACTGAGCCACTAGAATATAAACTGAGAGCAAACCTCACTCCTTAGTAGCACTGACGATGTTACCTAGTTTGGATAATGAAAAATCTGCAACAAAACAACCAAGCTCAGAGAGCACCAAGAACCCCTCAGTATAGGCCAGTGGTGGCGAATCTATGGCACGGGTGCCAGAGGTGGCACTCAGAGCCCTCTCTGTGGGCACACATGCCATTGCCGCAGCCTTGCCTCCCCCCGTGACCTCCTCCTCTCCAGTAGCCTCCCTGAAGGAGAGTCGCCCCCGAGCGTGGCCCACACAGAGCAGCACAGCCAAGGACATGGCAGCCAGGTAGCGTAGACAAGACTCTGCACTCACACTCCATCATGCAGTTGATGCTGCAGGGCGTGGGCAGTGTGTGGCCGCCATAGAGCTGATGGCTGCCTGGGCGATCTGCCCTGGAGGCGGTGAGTGGTCCTGTGGGCAGGTGGGGCAGGTGATGAGGGGGCAGAGCAGGGGGGTGGAGCATGGGTGGGGCCAGTTTTTGGGTACTTGTTCTCTAAAAGGTTTGCCATCACTGGTATAGGCTTTAACACCCACAAATTAACAGATATATTTGCAAATTAAGGGCTGTATTATTGTTTTTTAAAGCTACCCCTTTTAGCATTAAAACAACAACAGATTTTTGAAGAATTGCTTTGCTTTTTTTCTTTTGTGTTTTATGCACTCTTATCTATAGTTTCTCTGGTTGAGATCTCTCTCTCTCTCTGTGTGTGTGTGTGTGTGTGTGTGTGTGTCTTTTTATTATCTGAAATCAGAGATTAGACTATGTGAGGGGAAAAAACTAAAAGAATTATTGAACAGCTATTGAGCATCAATGCCTTAAGCTATCATGTAAAATAGACTAGATTATCTTGTTTCTGGATTGTTATTAACCCAGCTGCAAAATAATTTCACAAACAATATTTATGTATTGCTTATTTTGTTTAATACATTGTACTGTATATGTCAATCAATTCAACAAGGCTCCAAATGATTTACCCTCCCAAAAGTAACATTAACATAAAAACAATTACAAACAATAACAAAATGAAACAATGCTATACGGCACAGGTGTCAAATTCACCGTGTCATGTGACATCGCGATGTATCGCAACTTTTTTTGCATTGCCAGAGCTGAGGTGAGCACGGCCTCTGTATGATGCAAACAGCCTGTGGGCCGGGAGTTTGACACCCCTGCTATAAGGAATAGTCTCAGCATTCAAATCTAGAACAGTCTGAATGAAGCTGCTATAAAAATACATTTCAGTTTAAACCAAACTTAACAGCTACTTCCACACCCTACACTTAAGAAAATTATATACCAAAATCATCAGCAACATTGAGATTTAATATTATATACTGGTCTATATGAAAAATGCAGGATTTTAAAATGGGTAGAAACTGAAGAATGCTGACCCCACAATTAGTTCAAGAAATCTTTAACTTTCCAGTTCTAAAATCAAATCAAACCTAAATAAGACTCTTTCATACAAACATAAGCTTCCCTTTGAAGCAAGTATTTATATCTGCTTTTCCTTCCTTATTACATCAGTGTAAAATGTTAATACAGTACCGGATGGGGGTGATTTAACAACACCAAAATTATTTAAGTGGGCAACTAATCAACAATTCACTCCTTTATAGAGAACCAAAAATGTGCTAGAGACCAGATAGGGATTACTTGCTTTTAGCACTCCAAACAACTTCATATGTATTTTAACAGAAGAAATATTTTAATTACTAACTGAATATATTTCAACATTTGGCACCAAGAAAGAACTTTAGCACTTACTGTAATACAGTATTCTGCTCAAGATTGAAAACATAGTGCAAAGTAACTGAGTAATACACATGTACTTCAGTGAGATTCTAACCTCCAAGACATGGCCTATGTCATGTTGAACAAATATGATATGTGCTGTATAACTAATACTGGACTAAACCTCAGAAGTCTACATAAGATGTAGCAGCCTTAGCAATAAAAGCAAAATGTTAGGGCAATGTCTATCAAAGAATGACAGTGATTTGCACCAATTTGATTAGAACTTTTGAAGTTATGCATTTACTATTAAAATAGGAGAAACTGTTAATTGGGGAGGTATAATTAATTATCTCTAAGACTGCAATACAAGCCATAACACCATCAGATTCAAGGTCATTTGACTAAGGAAATTGGTCACCTTTACGCACTTCAGAAAACCAAAAAAATTAAAACTTTGCTATGGCAGCAAACATTCTTGCAAAGGAGAAATATTTTTTGCAACAATAAATAAAGATTATTCTCAGCAGTTAGTCTAAAAAATAACTATTTTATGAGTCAAACAATAAAAGAATAATTACAATAATGCATTGTGTTAAAATTTTTCCAATATACAATCTTTGGAGAATATACAATCTTTTCTAATATTCTTTGCAATCAGAAAAAAAAATTGCTTTTTACTTATGACATTTTGATTCTGGGTTAGTTCAGAATCCTTCTCAAAGAACGGAACATTTGATGGTAGAAGCAAACTAAACCAGCCACAATTCTTTGCCATGGCAACCCAAAGACACAATAATATTTAAAACACATGTTTAGATGTGCTAATTACCCTTTCTCAGTTTGCCTAGCAGAGGACCCCTTGTCAATGACAACACACAGAACAATAGAGGATCAAGCAGGATAACTTCTATATGAAGCTTCAGTCCAGAGCAAATCATTCAGTATTCGAGAAGGTATATAACGGCTAGCATATCTAGCCAGCAGAGCAATAAAAGCATTCATTTAATTATTCTCCTTGTGACTGCACATTCAACTAATATCTCTCAATAAACAAGCAGTATATTAAAATATGTCAGGAAGAGCTTTAAGTTTCCCTGCAATATGCATTTTCAGCAAACCAATATAGTACTTTTGTTATATAGCACATTTAATTTTGGCTTCTAATTAAAAGTTCATCAACATATTCATCATAGTTTAGGGCGTGGTTCCTGCTCTATGGAACAGCCTGTTCCTGAGATCTTAAGGACTGGGTAACCCTCTCAGCCTTCCAGAAGGTTGTTATGATCCAGTTGTCAGGATGTCAGGAGAGACCAATGTACACATTTGTTTTTTAAAATTGCTACATGGTACCTCAGGTGATTATTTTTAACTCTGGTGTTTTCTTTTGTTCTGTTAATTGTTTGCCACCTGCAGTTATGCATTTAAGTTGGTGGGTGATATAAATGTTTTAAAAAAAATTAGATACATTCTCTAGATAGGTTTAAGTGTGTATTCAGATTTAAGGACATATATTACAGCATATATCACATATCAATTTAACTATCTAGCAATAAACAACTGAGAAATATAGTCTAATAATGACTAAAAGTTTAAAAAAATCTTGTAGATTGGCTCATCTAACAACCAGTTTGCTATACCATAAGCTAGGATAATACTCTATCACTACTCACTGCATTTCTCTATGAAATTTAGACTTGCTACTACTTAAGTAGAATATTGTAAAGAAGCTTAGGGCCATCTGATAAAGCAAGGAAATACACAGCAGTGATTGTAATATGCCACTATAGAAAGTTGTAGATTTAGCAGTCCTGCTGCATACTATAGGCTGCTTGATGATCTCTTTTAACAATCTGTCTAGTCAAAAAAATGACCAAATATTCATTTCCCCATTCATTCAGAGAAGCACCAATAATGTAATCCCTACTTTCTATTGCAACTTACCAAGTTTTTCCACGAGTTTCAGCATGACGCCACCAATATGTATTTCCCCTGTGACCCTCAGTGTTACATCTCTGTTCAAGTCTGTGACATGCACATTCAACTCCCACGTTCCATCAGCATAGCAGCCATCTGGCATCCGTATACCGTCCAGAGCCGTCATCGCTCCTTCCTACTGAAGCAGAGGAAATGGCATTCATTTCATTAGTTAAGCTGAAGTCTCGCACTCACAGCTCATGAGCAGCTCCCCTGCTTCCCCATTCAAGCAAAGAAAATAAAAAATCACCCGCAGTGAAGAAAGTAAAGAAAGAGCAAGAAAAAAGAAATAGCCAAGGAAGGGAAACAAACTCCCTAAAATCAGCTGTAAAGAAGTAACAAAACTGAGGAAGTTCCCAACTCAGTTCAATTTACTTAGAAAGGCAGTAAGGGGAGGGTGGACACAGCCTGCAGATTTCTAGCTGCCCAGCAAGGGCTTTGTAAACCTAAAGGGAATAAAAACTGATGCCTTATTTAGCTTCAGTTTACAGGTATGTTTAAACCAAATTTCCCTTCTTCAGGATCTTATTAGTCCCTACAATATATACAATATTAATGTGACAAGTCCCTTTGACCCCGAAGTTTAGAATTCATATTCCCTTTAAGATCCAACTACTCAAGAAAATGTGAATAATTCACCGAAGCAAACACATCCTTTCAGCCATAATAACCTCCATGATCTCCTAGGACTCATCCTACAAAACATAGATATATTCATTGTTGTAGACAGATTGCATAAACATCTTAAAGCACCACATGAGCACAAATAAGGGACTCCACACAGGGAAGAAAATTTTGCAAGCTCCTTTTTCCAAGGCACAAGAGATAGCATTATTCAGATTATACAGGGCTGAAGTAGGCAAAAAGGAGAAAAGAGCAATGGATGTCCCAATCAAAAATAATGCTTACAGAGGAGGCTGTGCCCATTGGATCTAGGATCCCATGAAATAATCTGAAAAAAGGCTAACTTCTCAGGTAAGCAAAAGAAAAGGAGGCCTGAAAAAAAGAGTGGGAAGAACGGAGAGTGAGAAAAGACCGAAAAGAGCAAGGCTGAAAGCGCGGCGAGCGTTATTTGCAGGGGAGAACGGCAAGCAAAGTCACCTCAAGAGGGACTAGGACCCTGAAGAGGGCACAAATCCTCCAAACTACATCCCTCCCCCGTCCATCACCCTCGTCACCCGCACACGGTTCCCCCGAGGACCCCACTGGGGCGCAGATGTCCCAGCGTCCACCGACCGAGCAAGGATGACGTGGAAGCAGAGGCGAAACGAAGGAGCCCCGCTCTCCTTTGCCGCGCGAGGCGAAAAGCCCTCGCCTGCCCCCCTCCCGCGTCCTCACCTCCCTTCAAGGGGCTCCCCGGCCTCGGTTCTGCCTGCGCGCGCGCCTGCGTTACGGTCCCCCCGGCGGCGCTGCGAGCGTGACAGAGAAAACCCCGCCGCTGCCGCTGCTTTCTGCCTGCCTCGCCCGATGCTTCGCTTCTCTTCCCCGCCCTGCGGACGTAGCCAGGACGGGAGCCGCCGCCCCCCTAAGCCTTCTCCGCCCGCCGGGGGCGCCGCCTGAGGGGATGGCGACAGAGGGAGGGGGAAAGAGGAGGGAGAGAGAGGCCTGGGGGACGAAGGAGAGGGAGGCGCTGCCCTTTTATGGAAGCCAGGACGGAGGAGCAGCCAGGACGGAGGAGCAGCGGGGCAAGGGGCCAACATCCGGGACTCCCCCGCCAGCGGACGCGCGGGAAAGCGAAGAGGGGGAGGAGGGGTGGCTGAGAAGGGGGAGGAAGGGGAGGCTGAGGGGAGGAGGAGCGCGGAAAGCGCGGGAAGGGGACGGTGGGGGGCTGACCCCCCAAGCAGAGGAGAGTCTGGTGGGGTCTCCCTCCTTGGAAATGGGAGAAGAATGGACATGGCGCGCTCCGTCACTTAGCCGTCAAAACTCCCCAACAGCGCGCTCTCTCGCTCTCTCTTTCTCTGCTGTGGGTTTCCTTTCCCAACCACTTCGCCTCTTGCGTTGGGCCACAACTCCGCGTCTGCCCAGAACACTACCTCCCCCGCATTATGAGGAGTAGGATCCGGCATAAGACGGCGGATGCTTGCCAGACTCAATTAGGCATTGGGCAGCGGAGCACCGGACTCGGAAGATGGGCCAGGAAGTGCCGGGATTGTCACCCGCGATTGCCGCTTCTGAAAAATCGTACTTGGGAAAGTCAAGAATTGGGGGTGGGGGAGGACTGGCAAGAGCCAGCAGGTTATTCTTAATCACTAGAGCTGGTTTTACGATGTTTTGGTTACACCTACTCGAAAGGCAACAGATGTTTGTTTTAATTAGGACTTGCTTTCAATTGGTTTTGTAACAAATGTAAATCGCTTGTTTTATTGTATAATGCAGAGTCACCTTGTGCGAGATGGACATATAAGTTTAAATAAACAAACAACCAAATGATCAGAGAACAAACAACTAGTCAAGCCAGGCGTTCTCATACATTGCTCTGCAAAGTAAAATGATATAGGAATTTGTCTAACTCTTCTTAAAACCAGCCTGTCTTCCATAGAAGACCTGTATGGGTTATGAGGAGGGCTGAGAAAATATCTACAGAGTCCTCACATCCTGGACATAAACTGTTTCAACTTCTCCCCCTGGGACGTTGCTATAGGGTACATTGAGAGTTTCTGCACCAGAGATAAATTGCTTGTGTGCCTAATCACACTCAGCCAAATAAAATATTCTATTCCTGCATAATAGTAATTTTTCTGGGATGATAGATAGGCTTCATAGACTTATTTTTAATCACTATGTTAATGTAAGAGTTTTGCAAAGGTAGGCTTGTGCAGGCAAAAACTAGGATTAAACCCAGAGTGAGTAAATATTTTTTTTTAAAAATGTGACCTTCCTCAATTGCTCTCCACCTCGAAATAGCATGATCCACAATTTGAGAACCTTGCACTGCACTGAGCTATTAAAAAAAGGTTAACATTAACTAAGTTTAGCATTGTTGCGGGCTATGTTGGCAACAGATCTTGGAATAGATTTTTATAACTGGCCTGCTCAAGCATGTTTTGCCAACACTGTTAGGCTTGGCACAGTCGCGAAGTGTTTGGAAATCCAATGGGGGCACAGGGAGCAAAAGATCCCAAATGAACAGCAGGGGAAATTACTCTTTGGACCCGGAGCCTTTTCTGAGGGGTCTGAAGTAAGAGTGGAATTGTCTCTACCAGTACAAGAAGTGCACAGAGGCCACAGTAGCTGTGAAGTTACAACTCTGTTTGCTATGAAACGTGTAGCAAGGGAATAACAACTTCTTCCACTTGACTGTGATCCTGCAAGTCAGGATCAGAATCTTGGATCAGCAGGGTCAGTGATTGGAATGAGGGTCAACCTCCATGGCAAGATGTGATACTGGTTTTAGTTAAGGTGTATCAGAAATAGAACGGCGTACAGAAACAATATAAGAGACAGTTGTAGCAGTTAGATTTTATAGTGTGCTGACTCTGCTTATCTGAGTGGGCTGCCCTGTCCTGCTTGCCTCAGTTGTGCAAGTAAAGAGTGCTGTTGATTTTGTAGGAAGAGGGTTAACCGTGTGTGTAATTGAGATAGGTGTCTTTGAGCAAAACAATTTTCCCTTCATGAGATTTCTTCTTGAATGCTTTCAAGGCGTTTCTACACTGTTGTCCTAATGTAGTTCTTCTTTTGGCTTGGCATGTTTTTTGAGCCCAGCCATTGATATGTGCAGACCATGGTTTAACACTTGAAGATAATACAGGTTAGCAGAAGGCACATACAAAGGTTTTATATTAAAGACTTAATCCTTAAAGTGTAACAAGGACAGAGAGTTGATGATCCTCGTCCCTTTACAACTCATTTGATTCCCATGTTTAAAATAAAAAGTAAAAATTGGTAGAAATAATTAAAATCGCACACAACATAAACAGTATAATAATCAATGATCTAATTCCGGTATGACCATAACTTAAAGGAGTATGAAGTATTACAACTGATATGCTCTCCCATACACATGTAAGGGGAGACTGATTTTAGGAACAGAAAAGTAGCATCTGATGTGTGATTTGTTGCTTATTGGCAACATAATTTGAAGAATTGTAGTCAGCTGCCTTGCCCTTCTGGTCCACAGGATATAAGCTATGAACATGGCCAACTATGAGTCAGTAAATCATGATTAAACAAACTTAATCTAATGTGCATCCCAGTGGAAATATACTGAGGACACAGAAGCATATTCTGTTTTGTACATATTTAGTTTTTGTGTTTTTTTCCAAAAAAAAGATATTCAAGTACTGTGATTCAACTTATAGATTCCCCCTGTATCACTTCATCCTTCCCACAACTTCATCCCATTTTAATTTTACTTGTGCATCATTGCAGTAAATTCCATGGATTTATCTAAGTGGTAATGTTGGTAGAACATTTACAGCTGTCCAATGAAAGCTTCTAACAGACATATTCTATTAACAGGTTTTTACAACAACAACAACAGAGTTGAAAAGGACCTTGGAGGTCTTCTAGTCCAACCCCCTGCTCAGGCAGGAAACCCTATACCATTTCAGACAAATGGCTATCCAGTCTCTTCTTAAAAACTTCCAGTGTTGGAGCATTCACAGCTTCTGGAGGCAGGTTGTTCCACTGATTAATTGTTCTAACTGTCAGAAAATTTTTCCTTAGTTGTAGGTTGCTTCTTTGATTAGTTTCTATCCATTGCTTCTTGTCCTGCCTTCAGATGTTTTGGAGAATAGCTTGACTCCCTCTTTGTGGCAACCCCTGAGATATTGGAACACTGCTATCATGTCCCCCCTCATCCTTCTCTTCATTAGACTAGACCAGACACGTCAAACTTGTGATGTCACGTGATATCGCGCAACGTATCGGAGCTTTTTTGCCATTGCCGGCAACGGGGTGGGCGCGGCTCCGGCCTGCGGGCTGGCAGTTTCACACCCCTGGACTAGACATACCCAATTCCAGCAATCGTTCTTTATATGTTTTAGCCTCCAGTCCCCTGATCATCTTTGTTGCTCTTCTCTGTACTCGTTCTAGAGCAGACATGTCAAACTCACGACGTCACGTGACGTCTCAGAGCTTTTTCCCCATTGCCGGCAATGTGGGCGCGGTTTCCTGGTGACATGTCCAGTCCACAGGCTGGCAGTTTGACACCCCTGTTCTAGAGTCTCAACATCTTTTTTACATCGTGGTGACCAAAACTCGGTGCAGTATTTCAAATGTGGCCTTACCAAATCATTATAAAGTGGTATTAACACTTCACATGATCTTAATTCTATCCCTTGTAATGCAGCCTAGCAATGTGTTGGCAGCTGTAGCACACTGCTGACTCATAATATTTAAATGATTGTCCACTAGAACTCCAAGATCCCTCTCCCAGTTATTGAGCAAGGTACCACCTATACCAGGGGTATAAATTGACTGCCTGCGGGCCAGATGCATCATGCCGAAACCGCCCCCACCCCATTGCCGGCAATGGAAAAAAAGTTGCAATATGTCATGACACATCACGTGATGTTGTGAGTTTGATACCCCTGACCTATACTATATCTGTGCATTTGGTTTTTCTTGCCTAAATGTAGAACCTTACTTTTTTCACCATTGAATTTTATTTTGTTAGCACCCAATGTTCAAGTCTGTCAAGATCCTTCTGTATCTTAAGCCTATCTTCTGGAGTGTTGGCTATTTCTGCCAACTTGGTGTCGTCTGCAAATTTGAGATACCTCCCAAGGAAAACTTGTATTTACTAATTTAACATCATGCTCTAATTCACCAAAATATGTCAGATTCTTCCCCATTGAATAGCTTGAATCTGTCCCCAACCAGGAAGATGACCTACTCAAGATTAAACTCCTTAAACTCACAATGGATCCCACCGCACTTAGGTCTTCCTTGGACAGTAACCTATTTGGCAGTTTTGTAACAAATTTTTAAAAAATGCTAAAATGAACTTCTAAAAATGCTGAGGAAGAAATGCTCTGTTGGCCAAAATGGAGGAAGATTTCTGGGTGAAAGAAATATGTAACTTTATATGAACCTTGATCTAATGGAGGAAAGTATTTGGCACCTGGAACAGCTGAAGGTGATCTAAGGTAAGCATTTTGCATACTTAATTTTAGTTTCCCCCAAATTTATAGGCAACTTATAGCATTTGCATATTCTTAAGCCAATCATTGGTAGACTGAGGAACTATACAGGGAACTGAAGGCTTCTCTGCAACTGGATCATTTTGGAAGTTTTACACTGATTCTCAACAATTGTTCTGTTATTTTGCATTTGTCCAGAAGGGGACTCCATTTAAGTTTTGAATGGACATACAGTATATAGGATAGTGATTTGAGTTGCCAAATTTTGTAGTTCTGGTAGGGTTCTAGTACTTACCTACATTTTTCTCCTGATACATATCACTGCAGATACATGAGAAATTATCTAAGATCCATCATACTTTTATCCAGCTGATTCTAATTAACATAAATGCTAGCAGGAAAGAACCTGATGTTTTTAGCCAGTTAGATTATAAATAAAATGTGCTCTGTCCCTGTGCTATGGTCCTTTCCTAGTTCCTTGCTTTCAAATAAAAACTGGTGGTTGGCTATGTACCTTGTACTTGTTTAACTAAGGTTTATTGAATAAACCGCAAATGGTCAAAGTCACACAACTCTCAAGCCTGGAATGTACTTGTT